CCCCATCGGGGTCAAGGGATCATGGGAGGTGGTCTCTGCTACTGCCTCTGGACGAGGGGCAGGCAGCAGCCTGTTAACCCTGGAATTCTGGACCCCCAGGCCTGCTGAGCAGTTTACACTGGCAGGCTCAGCCCAGCTCAGTGGACGAGGCTTGGGTTTGAATCTGGGCCACCCCACGAGGACCCACCACCTAATTCTGGGCCATTTCACTTCCTTGAGCCTGGGTTTTCTCATATAAACAGTGGAGGTAAAATGTCCTGTGTACAAAAAGGCCTTAGCATAGAAGCTGGCACTCACACAGCTCCCAAAAAGAAAGAGGGAAGCTATTTTTAAAGAAAAGTAAAATTACCAGTGACTAGCTGGCTATCTAAGTAGAAATCCAGGAGCCCCACGGGCCAAACTTAGTGCGTTCGGTGGGAGCCCCTCCCCCCAGGTCAGAGGGCCCAGAGCCGCAGCCCCTCTCTGGGACACCCCTAGTCGGTGGGGCACTTTGGCCCTCATGTCCCTCCCTCGTAGGGGCATCATGTACCGACGGCTCCGGGAGTTTGACAACGCCGTGGAGGACTTCCTGAAGGCGTTGGACATGATGACCGAGCACCAGGAGGACCTGGTGCAGCAGGCGCAGCGCCAACTGCTGTTGGCCTACAACGACTTCGCGGTGCACTGCTACCTGCAGGGCGCCTACCAGGAGAGCGTGCGGCTGCTCAGCAAGGCGCTCAAGAACGAGCAGCGGGAGAAAGGCCTTTACATCAACCGTGGTGGTGAGTGGGGGCCGGGCAGCCCAGCGTGAGCCCCTTGCCCCTCCAAGGCCTGGGCTGGGCGCTTGAGGGCCCTGAGGGAGGGAGGAGGGAAGGAGGGAAAGCGGAGTCTCAGTGTCCCACGGACACACTTTGGGAAACGTTGCCTTAGACAATCTGGCTACAGCCCTTCAAAATGCTCGGGGTCAGGCAGCCGGAAGAAGGTGGCCAGAGGCACGGAAAACCTCTGCAGGTGCCCGCGACCGCCCGCGCGTGTCACCACCCGTTGCAGGCCCCGCCCCCTGGGGGTGGAGCCAGCTGGGCTGGGGCTCCTGGGCCCTGGGTCTGCGGGGCTCACTCAGCCCCCGCCCCCGGCCCCCGGTCTCCAGATTGCTTCTTCCAACTGGGCAACCTGACCTTTGCTGAGGCGGACTACCAGCAGGCGCTGGCGCTGAGTCCGAAGGACGAGGGCGCCCACTTGCGCATGGGCCTACTGCAGGAGAAGTTGGGCTTCTGCGAGCAGAGGAGAAGGTGCGCGCAGACTGTGGGTGGGGCGGGGGCTGTGGGCGGGGCGGACCAGGCCGCGGGAGGGGCCGGAAGAGTCAGGAGTGAAGCCGGTCGGCTGGGATACTGGGGTCGAGATCCCTCGGCTCTCCCAGTTGTCTCCTAAATATCTATTTTATTTTTCAAGTTTTCTCAAAAAATCCTTCATTTTTTCTGTGAATATTGTTATGGTAATTGCGCTTTTTATTAAAAAATCGTAAGTATTCAGTAACATATAACTTACAACATGAAAGTTCCTTCTAATATCTACCTCCCAACGCCTCCCCCTTCCCCTGTAAGTTGGGTAAAGAGTCCTCTAGATTGATTTCTATGCATATGTTAACAATTGTTATCATTTTACAAAAGTGAGGTCATGCTGATATTTTTTAAATAAGTTTATTTATTTTTGGCTGCGTTGGGTCTTTGTTGCTAAACGCGGGCTTTCTCTAGTTGCGGCGAGTGGGGCTACTCTTTGTTGCGGTGCACCGGCTTCTCATTGCGGTGGCTTGTTGTGGAGTACAGGCTCTAGGCGTGTGGGTTTCAGTAGTTGTGGCGCGTGGGCTCAGTAGTTGTGGTGCATGGGCTTAGTTGCTCCGCAGCATGTGGGATCTTCCCAGACTAGCGCTCGAACGCGTGTCCCCTACCTTAGCAGGCGGATTCTTAACCACTGCGCCACCAGGGAAGTCCACTAAGCTGATTTTTTTTTTTTCGGTACGCGGGCTTCTCACTGTCGTGGCCTCTCCCGTCGCGGAGCACAGGCTCTGGACGCGCAGGCTCAGCGGCCATGGCTCACGGGCCCAGCCGCTCCGCAGTATGTGGGATCTTCCCGGACCGGGGCACGAACCCGCGTCCCCTGCATCGGCAGGCGGACTCTCAGCCGCTGCACCACCAGAGAAGCCCTAAGCTGATTTTTGACTTGCTTTTTTACTTTCCATGGCAATTACATATAGGACGACCTCATTCTCTTTTATTGCTTGCAAAGTATTCCAGTCTGTGGAGGTACCACAATTAATTTCTTTAGACGATAGTATGCTGATGAGTATTTGGGCTGTTTTCAGTTTTTTATTATAAATAATGCAGTAATGAGACCCAAGACATCTGTTTTCATACTAGTAATTCTGTAGTTAGATTGCTGGAAGTTAAATTGTTGGGTTAAAAAGTGTAAAAATTTAACATTTTAAAAGATAATACCCAATTGTTCTCCAAAAACAATGAACCAATATAAACTTCCCCCAGTAAAGGAAAGTCTTGGTTTCCCCAAACCTCCCTAGCCCAGGGTATTAAGACTATTTTTCAACTTTGCTCTTCGGGTAGGCAAAAAAAGGCTCTCTCGCAGTGGATTGACTTTGCATGTTTAAATTGTGAGTGCAGGACAGCATCTTTCGTGTGTTTATTGGCCGTCATGGCCTGCCCAAATTGTTCGCCCATTTGCTCTTAAATTGTTCATTAAAAAATATTTTTTTGGTTATAAGTGTTCTTTGTAGGCTGGAAAATTAGCTTATCATCTGCCTTCTATGGCAAAATATTATTCACTATTTACTGCTTTCTTTTGTGGTGTTTTTGCTACTCAATAATGGGATTTAGTCAAATTAATTTCTTCATTTTTAGCTGCTGGGTTTATGACATCTCAGAAAGGCCTTTCCTACTCCAGGATCATAAAAATGCCCACTTATGTTGGGATTTTACACTAACATTTAAGTGTTGGGTCCATCAAGAGGGGCGTGGTGGCAGGGAGCAGAGACCAGCCTGATTTTCCCCAAACTCCCCCCTGGGGTCCAGGAGCCTCCATATCCTCCAGGTGGCCCAGCTCAGAGCACCCTGTGGCCTGCTGTGTCCTGCAGGCAGTTCCAGAAGGCAGAGAACCACTTCTCAATGGCCATCCAGCACAACCCCCAGAAGCCCCAGTACTATCTGTACCGCTCCAGGAGCCGGCAGCTCATGCAGAACATTTTTGGGGCCCGCCAGGATGTTGCCACTGTCCTGCTCCTTGACCCCAAACAACCGAAGGTGTGTGCCTGCTGGGCTCGGAGGGTGGACTCCAGAGTTAGTACCTCTGGCCACCTAAAGATACTCCCTGTCCCTAAAAGAAACCTGGTTTCGTAGCAGTAATAAGAGCTGCTAATGCTGGAGCATTTACTATGTGCCAGGCCCTGTTCTAACCAGTTCAGCTTACATCACTCCATTTAACCCTCTTCAGTACCTACGGGACAGGTAACATTATCATCACCCCACAATTCATAGAGGGAAGAGGGTAAGGCTCAGAGAAGTCAGTTCCTTTGGCCCAGGTCATGGAGCTTGGAGGTCACACCCTTATAGGGCTGGCTCCAGAACCACTGGTCAGGCTCACCATCAGCACTCCCTCACCGAATAGTTCCTTTCTCAAGATGTCCTGATAGTTCTGGGGCAAAAACGTCCAGCCCTTTAAAAAACAACAATCTGTAAACCCTTCCTCTGCCAGGGCAGCACCACACCATCTGCCCCCTGTCCTGGCCCACACCTGACTCTGGTCACCCTCTTTCCTGGCAGCTGCTGCCACTGATGACCAACCTCTTCCCCGGCATGTCAGTGGAGGAGGTGCTTAACAGCCAGGTGGCCCACCTGGCCAGGCTGCAGCTGGACCGGGTGGTGGAGCACAGCCTGCAGGCCGGCACCCCTCAGGATATCGTGGGGTAAGTTTCTCCAGGAGGGCCCACGGGCCCAGAGTTGGGGGACGGTTGGGGCTCAAGGCACCTCTGGCCCTAATCACCTTCTCAGGCCGCTGTCCAGTCCTGGGGATGGTGGGGTGAGTCAGGGAGGCCTACCCAGCGCTCTGGGGTCACGGCTTGTCAGGCGGCTCAAGGATCAGGAACTAGAGCGCCAGAGGGCCCGGGCCCTGCAGCTTTCGTGGAAGCTGGAGCAGCCTTTGTTCGAGAACTCCAGAGACCTAGAGGCCACTCACCAGTCCCTGAAGGCAAAGCCACAAGGTCCAGAGGAAGAGGCCAAGGCCCCTGGGGAGAAGGAGGTAAGTGGGCTGTACGCCGGGGCCGGAGGTCCTTGAGGTCCAAGGTGGAATGTACCCCAAGTCAGGGCTGAGGGATGCACGCTGGCTAGAGGCTGGCTTCTGGGCCTGGCTCTGCCAGCACTCAGATGTGTGACTTGGGCTGGGGACATCTCGCTGTGAGACAGAGAAGGTACCAGTAAGGGGTACACCTGAAGGAGGGTGCATGAGGATGTGGGCCCCTCACAGAGAGAGGCTTCCCACACTTTGTCCACACTCTTCGTAAATTCCGCTGTGTGCACTGGCCACTTGTACCAGAAGTTTCTTAATTCTTAAATTCATTTCTAAAAAGTTTTCACTGAATAGAACATATAGAAAAGTACATGACTCATAAGCGAACTGTTTGATGGATTTTCACAAACTGAATACCCCCATGGCACCATTCTCCAGATCAAGAAACAACACATTCCCAGTTCCCCAGAAGCCCCTCGCGCCCCCTTTCAGGCCCCTCCCTCAGCCCAGCACACCCCACAGGGCTGTCCTGATTCCTAACGCCGCAGACGAGCGTGCCTGTCCTTCGCCACAGAGGACAAGTGTGGTGCAGGCCCCTTTGCCTCTGGCTCCTTTCACTGAGCGTCCAAGTTTGTGAGAGGCTTCCAAGTTGACTGCTCCTTCTCATGGCTGGAGACATCCTGCGAATATCCCGTCATTTATTTATCCACTCGACTACTGATGGACAGCAAGTAAATTGTGTTCAAGGGAGACTTTAACCATCGAAGTAAATGGGAGTGCCAGCATCCCTTGCCAGAAATGGGAAAGGCAAGCTCTACATTTTTCTAGCTCACATTAGGATACAAAACTACAGAACTTGGGTCTGTGTGTGCCCTGAAGTCATCGTGGGGTCCCTGCTGGATGCTCCGCAGCCCCGTCTGCTCCCGCATCTCGCTCCCGCACATTTCCCGTGGCCTGCAAGTGTGACCAGCAGAGCCTGGCTGCGAGCCTGGCCGCAGAGTCCCCCTGACTTGGATTCCAGCCCTGCTTCTCTGCCTCTTAGCCGAGTGCCCAGGGCAGGCTGCTTAGGCGTTTCCTGGTCCGGGACATGGTAATGGCAGGGGAGTTCCCTCCCAGATGCGCAGGGACATGAAACATGGAGAAGGTCCTCAGTTTCTCACTAGCCATTCCCCGGACACAGCACTTCACAGTTTATAGAAGCCTGTCCCACAATTGAACTAATTTTCATCTTGCAGATAGGGAGATGAGGCCCAAGAGCCTCTTGACACTGCTTTTCTCATGTGGCCACACCTGTCTAACCTGGTCACGCCCCTTCCTGTCCAGTCAACCTCTCCGTGTCCCCATCCAGCCCTAACCTGCGACCCTCGAGGAGCTCTAAGCGGCTGGACTTACAGAGCTGCGGCCACTGTGACCGTGCAGCCTGTGATCATGCAACCTGTCTCTTGCCCCAGGAGAAGCTGGAGCCGGCCCCCAGCAAGGAGAGGTCCCTGACCGACAGCTACATCAGCCAGACCTCTTCAGGCTCCATCTTGGGCTGTAAGTCCCCCTGCTCCTGCCAGACCTGAGTGAGCCAACGCAGCAAGGAGGGCAAAGGTCAGGGGTCAGGGGCTCCCAGGCCTGAGTGTGAATTTGGGCTCTGCTGTCACAGCTGTGCGAGTGTGGAGTGGGAGGACTCATCCCAGCTTTGCGGGGGGCACAGGGAGCCCTCAGGGATGCCCAGCACACAGCCTGGGAGGCCGGCTCTCACCGCGAGGCGCCTCACAGCTGCTGCCTGCTCCACCCTCATTCCCTGCTCAGGCCTGTCTCTGTTCTCTCTGCCCCCTTGGCCTCTCCCTGAAATAAGCCCACAAAGCCTGTGCACATCCAGGGGGCTTTTACCCTCAATTCTGAAAGGTGCCAGCGTGGAGGGGAGAAAAGTAAGAAAAAACCAAGAATGCTGCTCTGGGTCCCAGGGGCAGCCATGGGCAGTCCAGGGAGGGATGGGAGTAGCAGCGGCCAGCCCCCTTCCTGCCATTCAGCAAATGCGTTGAGCATCCTAGGGCCAGGCCTGTGCTGGACACTGGTTGCAGGCATGAATGGCATATGGTCGTTGCCCCGGGGAGCTCTTGGTCCTGAAGGGAAGAAGGCCCAAAGGTAAACAGATAACCAGGACGGTGCAGCCATACCATGGAGGGGAGTCCCGAGGGCTCTGGGTGCATTTAGCTCCCTTTGGGGGGTCAGGACCAGGGGAAGAGGGGTAGCCAAGTGTGAACAGGGTGGAGCAGGGGGAACTGCTGCAGGCAGGGGGCCAGGGCCCTGCAGGCTGTTGGTTGTGGCTGGAACGCAGAGGGCAAGAGGCAGGCAGCAGAGTGGAGGCCAGCGCTGGGCGAGTGGGGTCCCTCGTATCTCCCCCTTATCTTACGGCCCTGACCCACCTGCAGGGCTCAGGGTGCCAGGAGGGCTGGGCTGCTGTGAGCTGGCAGGCCTTCCCCTTGGCCATGCAAGGCCTCTGGGACATAGGCAAGGGTGAGGCCTAGAAGTCTCCCTTTCCTGGCACTGTCTGGCGAAGGCGGCCTGACAGCTTCTCTTGACATATCCCTTCCAGTCAGGACCACGTCCACCGCAGAGACGGAGACGTCCACTGTCTGCCAGGAATACGGGAGCACTTCGACCACTGCTGTAACATTCTCTGACTCTTCACTGCTAAGGACACAGTCCTCAGACTCGGGGTACAAGAGGGAAGACCTAAGCCTGAGCCACAGCCCCAGAAAAACCAAGTCCACCCCAGGCCACAGCCAGAGGCCCAGCAAGCCCGAGGCCATCCAGGTCCAGAGCCAGAGGCCCAGCAGGACCGAGGCCACCCTGAGCCAGAGCCAGAGGCCCAGCAGGACCGAGGCTGCCCTGAGCCAGAGCCAGAGGCCCAGCAGGACTGAGGCCGACCAGGTCCAGAGCCAGAGGCCCAGCAGGACTGAGGCTGCCCTGAGCCAGAGCCAGAGGCCCAGCAGGACCGAGGCCATCCGGGTCCAGAGCCAGAAGCCCAGCAGGACCGAGGCTGACCACATCCAGAGCCGGAGGCCCAGCAGGACTGAGGCCGACCAGATCCAGAGCCGGAGGCCCAGCAGGACCGAGGCCGCCCTGAGCCACAGCCAGAGGCCCAGCAGGACCGAGGCCACCTGGAGCACAAGGCGAAAGCTCAACAAGACTAAGGCCACCCAGGGCTCAAGGCAGAGGCTCAGAAAGGCCAAGGGTGCCCATGGCCAGAGCTGGAGACCCAGAAAGGCTGGTGCCACCCAGGACTGGAGCTGGAGACTGATCCAAAGTCCCAGCAAAATCAAGACTTTCTATGACTCAAGTTGGAGCCCCTGCAACACTGAGGCCACTGAGGCCCAGGGCCAGAATCAGAGGCCCAGCCAGTCCAAGGCTGCCCAGAGCTGGAGCCAGAGCACAAGTCCAGGTTCCGGCAAGACCGAGGTCACCTGGGGACTGAGCCCAAGTCTCAGCAACACGCAGACCACCCAGGGCCTGAGACAGAACCCCAGCCCTGGCAGTTAGGCTGCTGTCTGAAGGGGCCGCTAGGCCCCTTCACTTCTTGCTGGGCTGCGGGCAATTCTGCCCCTACCACTGGCCACTCAGCAAAGCAGCCTCCTCCAGAGCAATTAGAACCTCAGCCAACATTCCTCTGGTCCCATGGCTAAATTTATTGTATTCGTTCTCTTCGTTTACAAAGTTAAAAACTTGAAAAGCCCAGTCCAAGTGGCAACTTGAGTCCCTCTGTTCCCAGAGACAGAAGTCTCAGCCTGGCTTTACGATACTGGGACATAGGGTGTGGGGTGGAGGGTCGGGGTGTGGTGCCCAGGCCAGGGCCGAGAGTAACAGACCAGAGAAGTAAGGAGCAGCCACGAGCCACCGTCCCTGAGTTAAAATTCACATTTTAAGAAGGCTCAGGCTGGAGGGTGAGGTCAAGGCTCATTGAAGTTCTGGGGCAGCCAGAGGTTTCCCTGAAGAAGGAAGCAAAGGCCAAGATGCCCTCGGCCCAGTGAAGAGGCCGGGGCCTGCCCTGCCCTTGTGTTTCATGGTAGCCAACAGCCCTCCTCATCTTCATAGTGTGCTCTGGGTCCCAGGAGGCACAGGACAAGGGACGCTCTGGCAGAGGCCCCAGGGCTTTCCTTCATGGCCTGGCCAGATAGAGGAAGACAAGGATGCTGCCTGGAGAGTCAGAGGAAGAAGGCGATTCGGGACGCCACAGTCTTGCAGCCATTGGAGGAAAAGAGCTGCTCGTCCTCAGGGAAGAAGGTGGTGCTGTCCAGCACGGCCTGGACGACCTCATCCCTTGGCTCCAGGCCTAGCTGGGCCAGCTCGTTGAGCACACAGTGCTGCACGTGGTGCCTCTGGAGAGGCAGGAAGGGCACCAGGGCGTCCAGGAGGTGCTCTTCCATGATGCCCGAGCGCCAGAAGCCATCTGCAGGAAGGAGCGATGGGAAGAGGCTGTGCTTCACGGGGATTAGCTGGGCCCTGTCCACCCCCAAAGGAAGGAAGTGCAGGAACGGGGCTGGTCTTAGTCCTCCCAGCCACCTTCCAGGTGCTGGGCTCGGGGAGGCTGTCTGCCAGCCCAGAGCACCAAAGCCTGGGCTGGGATGTACCGGGTCAGTAGGCAGAGCATCAGACCCAGGAGAGCCTGGCCCACCCCAGGGAGCCCAGCCCATTCCTCCGTGTGATCTGGGTGTGAGACCTCAGCCTGGAAACCACCCTGGGGTGGGGTCCTTGGCCGAACTCACGGTTCGGGTTGTCCAGCATGGCCTGGGAGATAACCGGCTCCAGCTCCTGCACGCGGATCTCCTCGCGCTCCCGGCGGCTGCGCCATGCCTCCAACACCAGCTGGTTGATCTGCTCGCTGCCAGTGTTGCTAAAAACCACAGGGGACGCAGACAGTGAGGACAGGATGTGGCCCTTGCTTCCCACGTGCCACCTAACGCGACCTGGGCCTGGGGGCCCAGCTCAGTGCTGGCGGGAGCCAAACCCCCTCAAAACACCCCGGGAACCGCTTCCCCTCTCCGGAGCTTGTGCCCTTAACCATGACCCCTGGAAGTTCGCCTGTATGTGTCATGCACTTTACAGTTTATAGAACACTTTTAGGTCCCTTACCGACTTTCCCTCACCCAGCCTCTAGGAGGACAGTGGGGCATTAAGATTGGCCCTGTTGGGGCTTCCCTGGTGGCACAGTGGTTGAGAGTCTGCCTGCCGATGCAGGGGTCATGGGTTCGTGCCCCAGTCCGGGAAGATCCCACATGCCGCGGAGTGGCTGGGCCCGTGAGCCATGGCCGCTGAGCCTGTGCTCCGCAATGGGAGAGGCCACAACAGTGAGAGGCCCGCATA